ATTGGGATTCTTCCTTTTGACATGCAAATAGCTGACCAATCCTAGCCTCCGGCTTACAACTGATTTACTATTTCCTAGATTCTAGGAACTATGTGAGTTGTCTAGTACTTTAAAGTTTTAGGACTATTTTATTGAAGTGATTCTAAAATAGCTATTCATTTTATTTTATTATTATAATATAATATTATTTATTATCTCCTTAAATTGTTATGTTTGAAAAATATTAAAATACTATGGGGAGAGAATTCTGGGAAGATGGAGGAATAGGTCAGAAAACTTTTGGCTTTCCAGTTTCCTCCACAGAAAAAGACAGAACGTTGCCTCAGAGGGATTGTAGAGCAGTGGAATAAACAAAAGTCAGGGTAAAGTGGTTGGTCTCCAAAGACAACCAAAAAAGGCCCCAGGAAAGACCTGACCTCTGGGGGCACGGGTTTGGCCTGAATGCAAACGTATCCAGGCCAACTCTGGGGAATCAACAAACGGGCCCTGGGGACAGGTGAGTGGAGAGGCAGCCTTAGCCTTAGAAATTTTCATCTCCCAGACAATGTTGGTGACCAATGGCTGGGTAGAAAAAGATTGAAGGACTTTCCACTGCCTAGGGATGCCAAGCACAGCTGTTGCTGACCAGACTCATCTTGGGCTGGGCTACCACTGCAGGGGAGAAGGAGTTAGCATACACCTGGTGAGTGCAGTAGCAAAGGGGCAGGGACCCTACTTACTGTGGGCACTTGCAGGAGAGTAGAGTCCCTGGTTTCAGTTCCAGAGCATAGAAGACAGCCGTAGTTTGCAGCCACTGGAGGGACCACAAGGAATAAGATCATTTGTGAGACAGCATGACTGAGGACTCTAGCTGTAGCTTAAGAGTGGAGACAAGAGCCCATGGTTGAGCCCCAGGACAGACCTCAGAAAATAACAGTAAGAAGGACCTGAGGCTTGGGGCATCATTCCCCATACTTCAGGACTGGAACTTGATTACACTAATAGCTTTAATAAATAAATAAGCAAGCAAGCAAAGGAGAAAGAATCCAACCATAGTTAGCTACAATGGGGATTGAGAAGATCTGAGTTCATATTCAGAGGAATATAACCAAGCTAAAAAAGCCACTCCTTTCTCAACGAAAAATATCAAATGGTCCCAAGCACAAAAGAGTTCTTGGAAGAACTTAAAGGGCTTTAAAAATCAAATAAGAGAGATCAAAGAAAAATTAGAAAAAAAAAATGAACAATCCAAGAAAATCAAGAAAATTATGAAAAGAAAGTCAACCAACTTGAAATAGAGAATCAGAAACTTAGGGAAGAAAATAATTCCCTGAAAACTAGAATTGGGCAAAGGGAAGCTAATGACATTCTAAGACATCAAGAAATAATAAAATCAAAAGGAAGAGAATGTGAAACATCTCATCAGAAAAACAACTGATCTGGGGAACAGATTGAGGAGAAGTAATATAAGAATAATCAGACTACCTGAAAATTACAATAAAAAAAAGTCTTGATACAGTATTACAAGAAGTTCTCAAGGAAAAATGCCCTGAAGTTCTAGAACAAGAAAGCAAAGCAGAAATAGGAAAAACTCCACCAATCACCACCTGAAATAGATCCCAGGAGGAAAACTTACAGGAATATCATAGCCAAGTTTCAAAGCTTCCACTTTAAGGAGAAAATACTGGAAGCAACAAGAAAAAAAATTTAAGTATCGTGGAACTACAATAAGGATTGTGTAAGATCTAGCAGCTACTATGTTGAAGGACCATGTGTCTTAGAATACTATGTTTCATAAAGCAAAAGAGCTAGTTTCAACCAAGAATAACTTACCCACAAAATTAAGTATAATCCTGAATTTTTAAAAATGGATATTCAATGAACTAAAAGACTTTCAGGTATTTCTTACAAAAACAGCAGAGAACATAAGGGAAAACTCGACATTTAACATCTAGGAGAAAAATAAGGTAAACATGAAGGACCAATATAAGGGACTCAATAAGGTCAAATTGTTTACTTCTTATATATGAAAATATTATCGGTTCTTTCATGACTGTCATTTTTATTTGGGGATTTTGAAAGAAAGACTTGGGCTGAACTGAGTATGCTGGGGTAATTCTTAAAAAAAAAACTGTAGGGAGAGTTTAAAAAGGAGCAATTATCTCATACAAATGAGGCATAAAAGGAAGAATTGATAGAAAAGAAGCTAATAGGAGAGAGGGTGAATAGTGCTGAAACCTTATTCCCATCGGGAATGGATTAAAGAAGGAACAACATATACATATACATACATACATACATACAGATGGATATAGATAGATATCTAGAAGGGCATAAAAGTCTTCTAAATTCAGAAAGAAATAAGAGGGCCAGGGGATAGAGTGGAGGAGAGGATAAGGAGGCGCTCTTGGAGGGGTGGGTAGGTTAAGGAATAGGAGGGCAAGGTAGTGGGTAGAAGTAAAGCAGATGAATGAGGAGGGAAGGAATCGGGTAAGAAGGATAGTGAGGGAAAATGGGAAGGAGGAAAATATACAACAAATAATTATAGCTTAGAATATGAATGGAATGAATCTATCCATAAAGTGAAAATTGATAGCAGATTAAAAATTTGAATTTAACAGTATGTTGCGTTCAGGAAATGCTATAAAAATGAGAGATACACACAAACATAAAATAAAGTTCAGGAGTAGAATTTATGTGTAAAAAAAAAAGCAGGGGAAGTAATCATGATATCAAAGTTAAAGCTAAAATAGATTTAATCAAAAGAGAAAAATAGGAAATTTACACTTTGTCAGCCATATTATTCAGTATTGTTTTAGACCATTTAAAATAACTAGACAGTATAAAATACCTGAGAGTATACCTGCCAAAACGGACACAGGAACTATATGAACATAAATATAACCTTTTTTATATATAAGTAAACTCAGATCTAAATAATTGAAGTATTATGTTATTGCTCATGGGTAGGTAAAGCCTATATAACTTTTAAAAATGACAATTTTACCTAACTGATCCATTTATTCAATGCCATCCCAATTAAATTACTAAAAAATTATTTTACTAAGTTAGAAAAAATAACAAAATTCATTTGGAATAACAAAGTCAGGAACTTCAAAGAAATGGATGGGTGGGGGGAGGGGACAGATGTAAAAGGAAGCAGATTCGATTAGTATCAGACCTTAAACTATATTATAAGGTGACAGCATTGAAATGTAAAGTGGATAATTTTGATAATTTTGACTATTTTAAATTAAAATTTTCTTGTACAAATAAAACTTAAAGAGTAGAAGGAATGCCGAAAATTGGGGGGAAACTTTCATAGACAATCTCTCAGATAGAATGTGACTGGATTGGAATATTGCTGTGGTGTAGGAAATGATGAGCTGGTTGATTTAGAAAAACATGAAAGATTTGGACTTAGGAAGGAAGATGCTATCCACTTTCAGAGAAACATGACAAGTGAAAATAAACATGGTATGATCTTACATATATGTGTATGCGTATATAGGTCTATGCATGTGTATGTTTATAGATATATTTGTGTGTGTGTGTATATATATACATATCCACACTTAATTATAGTCTTCTAGGGGGGGATAAAGTAGAAAATACACAGCAGAGAACAAAAGAAAATCTACAAAGAAGCAAAGAAAAGCTAGACAGCTTTGAAAACAATGTGCAGCATTTATTATATAGGTTTTCTTGAAGTAGAAATTGTTTTATATTGAATCCTCTCATGTTCTGCTGTGTACATGGCAATATTTTTTTTTCTTATTTTGTATTTAAGATTAAAATTTTTAAAACTTACAAAAAAAGAAAAAAAGACCCTGGGAATCACATATTAGCCCCATCAATACTTAGGAGGTATAGCTCAGTGCCATGAAAAGAATACTGGATTGGAATTCAGAAGACCTCTGATTATGATTCTTGGCTATGCCACTTACTATCTATGTAACCATGAACAATTCTGTTAAACCATCTGGGCCTTAATTTCCTCATATTTAAAATGAAAGGGTTGGATTAGGTGGTTTCGAAGGTCACTTTGACCCTCTGAATCTGTGATACTGTGGTCTTAAATAGGGAGATAGGAAATTAAAACAACTTGAAGTTGGTTATTTAGGATGGTGGTATCAAACTCAAAGAGAAATGGGGGCTTACCCATATATAAGGATCCCTGAGGGCCTATACTGATTTAGAAAACCACATCTTAACATTATCTGTGGTGGGTAGGGGTTGTATTTTTATTTATTTTGTTAAATATTTTCCATTTACATTTTAATCTGGTTCAAACAACTCAGGAGGCACATTTGCAAAATGCTTATTTGACAGCTCTGATGTAGGTAATTCTTCAAGTTCCAGCTTAAACTTTCTTGCAGGTTGGGTATGGATGCCCTAGACTTTTCTAAAGAAAGTAGTGGTTAACATATTGATTTTCTTTAACAGAGGTGGAGTCTTCAAGGAATTATTTAGTTCACGCCTACCCCCTGCATCCAGCCATGCAAGGCAAATGGTTTATCCTAGTTTATGGTTGCTGAGTATCTTTGTCAATCTGACTGATAATGTAGGTTAAATAACTAAACTCATTTTATCTTTCCAAGTTACTTTTACACAAATTAAAAGCCTAACAAAAACTGAAATTTCCCATTAGGCACCTCCCTTTTGGTCCCTAGGGATAGCTTACTTAGACTAATACCTTAGAAAGTCCATCTAGGCTGAGTGGTTCTTGAGCCTTTTTGCATGCCGAACAGATTGGTTTTAAAAGACATAAGCTCCCGTTTTTGCAAGTCCCATGTTTACTGCTGTGGTATTCCAAGGCCTGGTTCTCATCTTAAGTGAACTACAGTCAACCAACCATCTGTGCATGACGAATAGGAATATCTACTTCTATGGATTATCTGCCTCCTAAATATATAATACATTAGAGACAACTTTCCAAATAAGGATTTGGGAGTCAGATAAAGGTTATACTATTTGTTATTTGAACTGAGTTATTTATTGCTGCTTTCTTGTATTTCTAGCTACAAGAAAACACATGAAACTCTGAGCCATGCAGGGCAGAAGGCAACTGCAGCTTTCAGCAACGTGGGCACAGCCATCAGCAAGAAGTTTGGAGACATGAGGTACTTCTAGATTGAATGAGTTTTGAACTTGGCTTTGAAAAAGAAAAGAGGATTATTTACTTCATGGTCAGCTGGTCTTCCTTCCCTTGCTATGCAATGTCTGCCAGTAGCCACTGCTAGTACATGAGAAGTGGTTATTCCCTGAGGTGTGCTGCCTTAGGAAAAGTGTAGTGAGCCCATGGCAGAGGAGTTCCTTCCCATACTGCAAGTCCCAGTGGAAATCGGAGACATTCTTGACATTTGTAATCATTACTATTGAGAGCAAAATAGGAGGAATTTCCTTTTCAGACACCACATGCTAGGAGAGGCTTAATTACTATAATCTTAACATTGAAAACAAAATGTGTGAAATGGAATCTTCCTGGAAAGCTGCAGCCTGTGTAGCAGCCTAACCTTTAACTGATAAATCTTGCCACATCTGGGCAGGGCTGCTCATTCATGTTGAAAATATCTGTTGATTCTTAGTAGTGAAAATCAGTCAGAACTAGTTTCAGCAAAGCAAGACCCTTCATTCTTTGATTCGTATTTCCTTTGTTGTACAAGTAATGTTGAAAAGTTCTTTGGTGAAAGAATTATGCATATATGTGTGTATCTGTATATATGCATTGTATATGTATGCATATCTATAGCTAAACATTTACATAGTGCCCTGTACTGTGCTATTAATTTTTTATCATACTCTAGTGCTAAATAGAGAGGCAGCATAGCATAATGGATCGAGTCTAGAAAACTTAAATTCAAATCCTGCCTCATATACTTCCAACTGAGTGACCATAGACCAGTCATTTACCTTCTGAGCCTCAGGCTCTTTCCTAACAATATAAATTATAGAAGAACTGTGAACTACAGTGGTAGAGGCAGTCTGCCCACCAAGAATTCCCATACTAATGAAATCACAGACTGATCATAGCATTATAGATTTAGAGCTAGAAGGGGCCTCAGGCCTCCTACCCCCACCTTCCCCAGTCACACAGATGAGAAAACAATCAGTCAATTAACAAGCACTGATTAAACACCTAGTTTCTGCCAGACACTGTGCTTGGTACTGGGGAGGTAGAGACAAAAATGAAACTGACCCTGTTCTCAAGAGCTTCCCTTCCATTTGATGAGAGAATATGTATATATGTGTATGAGAATATGTATATATATGTATGTGTGTCTCTATATCTCTCTGTATGTGTCTCTTGTTTGTGTGTCTGTTTCTCTCTCCATATATTTATGTATATATACATATACACAAATATGCATATGTATGTACACACATGCATGTATGCATATAGACATACATATATGCATATACAGCATGCATTTTATCTCCTTGTATATATGTGTGTGTGTGTGTGTGTCTGTGTGTCTGTGTGTATACAAGAAAAAATACAAGGTAGTTGGAGGGGGCACTATCAGTTTATAGAAAATAGGCTCTGCAAAAGTGTCAGGTACATAGTAAGAGCTTAATAAATGCTTGTTGATTGACTTAAGTGGCTCATGAAGATAAAGCTGGGGTTCACAACCATAGCCCAGGACTCCACATTCAGCCATCTTCCCCATTTTCTATGTTCCCTTAATCTGTCAGTTTATGTAACAGTCTACAGATACTTGTAGATACAGATGCTTGTTCTTCCTGATGGTAAATTAGATAGAGGAAAGGAATGAAGGAAAAGCAAGAAAAGAGACAGAAATGGAATAAAAGATGAGTTCTTTGCCCTTTTGTATATATTTCAAACTTTACTCCACTCACCGTGCCGCCCCCCCCCCCCAGTGGTTGTGGTATTCACTTGTTTTCAGTCCTGTCCAACTCTTCATGACCCCATTTGGGGTTGTCTTGGCAAAGATACTGGAGTGATTGTCATTCATAATTACACACACATATGTATAGACATATACATACGGAGAGGGGAAGAAAAAGGGGGAGAGAGAGAGAGAGAGAGAGAATTTTCAGAAAGGAATATTAAGGGCAATGGAGCATCTCCCCTCAGTCATGTGAAAATATGCTACACATAGTAAATGGTGCCACAAAAGAGACTGGCTATTGAAAGAAAATCGTGCGGAGAAGCAGTAATGACCAAAGAAAAATGATGAAAAATTTGGTACTGTGTCTGATGACTGTAAGTTCTTTGGGGAAATCTGCAAGCAGTTCAGTTAGGGATTTTCTGACATCAGAAAAGTTCATCACTGAAATCCTTTTATAGTTCTTGTCATTCATGGCCACTAAGGGTAGATTTAAAAAATTATAATAAAGTGATAACTGTCTGTAAGACAGACATCAGTTGAACAAATTTAGCTCTGCCCTGACTGTATCTATTTTTGATGTTTATTGCAAAGTTAGAATAGAATAGAATTAATTACACTTGAGATTTTTGGGGTTCCTTCTGTGCCTATTAGTTCAATAGGGTTTTATAGAATCATAATGGAAAAATTCAGAAGGGGCTATAGTCCAACCTTCTTATTTTAGAGATGAAGAAAAACAAGCCCAGAGAGGTTGTGACTTGCCCAATTAGGGTCAATACATTTAGTTAGTGACAGTATCAAGACTTGAACCCTCGTTTTTGTGTCCCAATCCAGTGTTTTTTCAGTCATATCATTAAGTATTGCAGACCTCAGGAGAATGAATTATATTTTTTTAATGCATTTCCTTTAAAAATAAGTAAATTTTTCATGGGTACCCGTACAAATAACCAGCAAAACTATTCTTGTAGCTTTGTCACATGAGGTGGAAATATTTGTGTTTTAGAATCCAGACTTTTTCAACAAAAATAAGTTGACTTCCACTCTTTCAGGCACCTAAGTTAAATAATTCCATAGGCAAGCATCTGAGTGCAGGATTTTATTTTTTCATCTTTCATTAATAAGGTGACATCAATAAAATAGCTCGAGTTCTTCAGTGAAAGAGTGATACAAATGTAAAATTTTGGATTATATATTTTCTTAGATGTTATTAAAAACCTAGAAATAAATGAAAGGTAGCTATGTAAATAGTTAATAAACATTTATTAAGCACCTACTCTGTGCCAGTTACTGTGCTTAGTGTTGGGGATGGAAAAAAAAAAGGCAAAAGGCAGGCTCTGCCCATAATGAGCTCACAGTCTGAAGGGGGAGACAAATGGGCAAACAGACATGTTAAAACAGGCTATATACAGGATAAATAAGAAATAATTATAGGAGAGAAGGCACTAAAATTAGGAGAGTAAAGAAGAACTATACCTTTTCTCTGACCACACACCTTCTTTCTTGTGCTACATGTGTTCCTGGAGGGATAATTCATTATTAGCTAAATTTGTCAATAGAGTTTTAATTGGTCTCATAAAATGAGAAAAGTCATGTTTCATGTTGTGACTAAGATGTGATAACTTTAAAATTTTGTTTTAAGAATGACTTTTCATACTATTCTGGGAGCTCAGTATCATAGTACCCACTAATTCCTTCTAATTCAATTATTCCTCTACAAGGTAGATCTATTTTGGAATCCATCTAAAAAAAATAATTACTGAGGCATTAAAAAGAACTTTATTCATATGGGATACATCATTTATACAGGATATCCTAAAAGTCTTTAAGCTATTAAATGTTTATAACTGCTCAAAGATTTCTGGGATGCCTTGTACAATGGTGAGACATGTAGACCGAGGGAGAGCACTCAGGCAAGGAGCCATTCATTCTGTTTCACAGAGACACAGGTCAGTTTGTTTGTAGAAGTAAAATATGAACAGTGTGCCTATAAATATATATGAAGGCATATGTATGTTCATGCATATATCACATATAGGGATTGGTTTCTATTATGTTTCCACCATTTTTATTCCTGGATGATTTAAAGTATATTTCTCAAGACTTCTCAATATTTCTTTAAATTATTACCTACTATAAAGTACTCAAGCTCTCTCTCATCATAAACAAAGAAGAAAACTATAACTCAAATAAATAGTCAAAGCAAGCTATGATTTTTAGGGTCACACTGTAGCATAGAACATCTAGGTATAATTTTTAAAATTCAGTGACAGTTTTTTCTAAAGTAATAGAAACTGACAATCCATTTAAATAAGGATGTTTTTCTATGTGAAAGCTTGGTTGTTTTCAGGGAATGTTTAGATTCAAGGGGGGAAGGTCTACCAAAGTACATAAAATGCTTAGATATAATAAAAATTGTATATGCTTAAACAAAGTCATTTAATAAGCATCCATAGATGAGAGAAAAAATAAAGGAACTTGTGGACCTTTTGGGGTCCTTAAAAGGGTGTGAATTTATGAAATGAAAGTGAACATAACTACTGAATTTTGTCCCAGATATGTTTACTTTAAAAAAACTTTTTGAGCAGAATTATATTATATATATATATATATATATGTATATACATGTAAAATATGTGTTGTGTGTGTGTATGTGTGTGTGTGTTCCAACCCAAAAAAGTCAAATAATTTTAAGCATATGTACGTTTTGGTGTTAATCATAGACAAATGCTTTGTATATAAGATTGTATAGCAAAGTTGGATCCAAAGAAACTGAATCCTGCCTCTAACACTTATTTGTGTGACCTTGGCAAAATTAATTCCTAGGCCTTGATTCCCTTCTCTGTGAAATGAAGGGTTAGACTTGGTGACTTTTGAAGGTACTTTTGAGCTAGAAGGGACCCTCAGAGGCCATGGCATTTAAATGATTTGCCTACAGAGTCACAGAAACAAGATTTGAACTCTGCTCTTTTTGACTCTAAGTCCAGTAGCCAATTCATTCACCATGATGATTCTATGATCCCTCCGACCTTACTGTAGGATTCATTTTGTATAAAAGTGAACACATGCTCATATCCATCATCATTTTATATATAAAATTCCCATTCAGCTGGAGATGCCCTAGGATCTATTTTGCATAGAGAGACAGAGAGAGATAAATGTAAACTTTTTTCCATGTATCTTTCCTAAATATATAGCTATGCACTACACTATGCTGATTCTATGTTCCCTCCAACCTGACCATAGGGTTCATTTTATATAAAAGTGAACACAGG